AAGACTCTATTTAGATTTTTTTTTGTTTACTTGTTCGATTATTTTGTATTCAAAAACTAAAAAACACAATTCTACAGATCTTGATCAATGTGGAATAAATTTATAAATCTATTGGTGTCTCCTGTGGAATCTAAGGAGCTTCTGGGATTCCAGAGCAACATTGATGAAGGACTAAATAGTGTGAAAACACTTCCTACATGTTATCTCTCTTCTTATTAGCGAGTCTGCTGCATATTTTATCTCTTTCTCTTCCTCTCTTCCAATCCAACACCTTTTACACAATTTTATGGTTGGTTCACTATGTACAAATCATGGCAGTAAATAATCCTGGTTTTCATATCTTAGAATTTTATCCTTCCAGGAATGACAGCGGTGATGGTTAATGTTTTGGAAGTATTAGGCACTGCTAGGTTTTGTGCTGTGTGTCATATTATGTTAAATATAGCCTTCAGAACTTGAAATGAACTACAGGAGATTACCCAAATAGTAAATGATTGAAAGCATAAAACATAATACACAATATTCATGTTTTAAAGAAAGCATAACTTTATTAAGGAATCAAACTTGTAAAATGTCATTAAATTATAAATATATTTTAAATTATAAATATATCTATTTATCCACAATTTTTTTTTTCTTATTTAGGTATAAGGATCATCCTAATTCTGTAGGAGCAACATATCGTGGAATGGCATGTGACCCAAAGTTTGCTGCAGGAATTGCTCTGGTATGAATTTTGTTTCCATTTCTTCTGTTAATAATATCAGGTTTAGAAAATTAACATCCACCTCAATGAACAAAAGTACATATAGGGCCGGCCTGGTGGCGCACTGGATAGTGCGCCGCTTGGGAAGCGCGGCGGCGCTCCCGCCCGAAGGTTCGGATCCCACATACAGACTGGTTCCCGCTCACTGGCTGAGCTTGGCACGGGAGCAACACCGAGGGTTGCAATCCCGTTGCCGGTCCCCGGTCCGGTAGGGGGACAACACTGAGGGTTGCGATCCGTTGCCGGACACGGAAAAAGACAAAAAGACAAAAAAAAAAAAAAAAAGTACATATAATGTATCTCTCATACTATTTTGATAAATCTTTGTAAAATGCTTTTTTACATTTTGAAACAGATATGATTATAAAGGAGTTTGTTATTGTAGGAAAAAAACACAACATAAAATTTACCATCTTTACCATTTTTAAATGTACAGTTCAGTAGTGTTAAGTATATTCACATTGATTGAAGCAGATCTCCAGAACTTTTCATCTTTCAATTGAAATTCTGTACTAAGTAAACGACTCCCATTTTTGCAGCTGGTAACCACCATTCTACTTTCTGTTTCCATTTCCATGAATTCCTCATATTAGTGGAATTGCCCTGATTTTCTGTTATTGGATTATGTATTTATTATTACTATTTTTATTTATACATACTTATAGGGTACAGAGTTAACTATATCATTATTTGCATACAGTATGTGATGATCAAATCAATATTTTTAGCATGTTCATCATTACAATTTGTAGTTACTTTTTGTGTTCCTTACCCAATTACCCCCTATTTCCCCTTCCCCTCACTCTTTCCCGCCTCTAGTAACTATTGGTTTGTTCTGTCCTTCTGAAAGTTGAACATTTTGTTAGGGTCTTTCTTTATTTCTTTGTTTCTCACACTTATGAGTGAGGACATGTGTTTTGGTTTTTTTTTTTTTTCTTTTTTTCTCCCTTTTAACATTTACTTGCACGTTATTGTGGCGTACAGTGTGTTGTTCCAATACATGTATATAACGCACAATGATTTACCTAGGGTAGATAGCATAGTTTTGTACCCCCATTAGTCCACTTCTCCTTCCTACTTCCCCCTCCCCTGCCAGCCTCTGGTAACCATTGTTCTGCTCTCTACTTCTATTAGAAAAACTTTTTGAAAAAATTCCACATATGAATGATATCATATGGTATTTATCTGTCTGTGCCTGACTTCACTTAACATGATGGTTTCCAGTTTCATCCATGTTGCTACAAACGATAGGATATTATTTCTTTTTATAGCTGAATAGTATTCCATTGTGTATACATTCCACAGTTTTTCATCCATTCACCCATTGATGGGCATTTAGGCTGATTCCATCTCTTGATTATTGTGAATAGTGTTGTAATGAACATAGGAGTGCAGGTGTCTTTTCGGTATATTTATTCCATTTCCTTTGGATCTATACGCTGTAGAATGATAGCTGGGTGGTAAGGTAGATCTGTTTTTAGTTCT